GCACGGTATTTCGTAGAGTACTCGCACGGTGGTACCCACACACAGCACTCCCACCACCGCCTCTTTGGGCGCGCGCGCAGCAAGCAACCATCCCACTGGCGAGTGGAAAAAAATTCCCAGCACCGCAATAAAATGATCATTTCTAAATGTAGACACGTATTACGACCTCATCAGCGGTCAATTTAACATTTAGAGTATACCCACACGCGGAAGTGCGCGACGCGTGTGCGTGCGTTTTATCAGTAATTAATGTTACCCCCATTCTCCCGCTACGTACGACGTATAGACACAAGAGTTTTTACAGTAACGAACAAAGATGTGTATGTAGCGACGCTGAGGTCATTCATAAATGCCAGATGGCTTCACTAAGCGATCGCGGCGGTGATACGTGAGAGGAGGGAGTTAGTGAGCGGGGGCTTCCCGCTGCTGTTGCAGTCTGGCGCGGCGGCATCCACTGTACGGGTATTTGTGTCAGTACGCCTGTACCTCTTTGCTAGTGGCTCTGCGCATTCACCTAACACTGTTTCTCTAGCAGACTCCTGAGTACTGCCACGATATGTGTAACTGGCGGACGATAGAGAGGGAGAGAAAGAGAGCACGCGCTCATGGAAAGCAGGCAGACAAACACGCAGATAGACGGTGTGTTCACGCGCGAGATAGAAGGGGGAAAGAGTGCGAGTGAGGGAGAGAGAGACTGAGACGTTCAGCGTGTGACGTGGAATTAGAGAGAGAGAGCGCGAGGGAGACGACTGTCGGACATGCAGCCAGGTAGCCTGCCGCCCCATCTGCAGGGCTGACAGGCAAACTAATTACCTGCCAAGTTGAATCGCTCTGATTGATACAGCCGCATGCTTTGTGTGCTATTGTGCTGCCACCTGGTGGCGGATAGACTGACTAGCTTCTTTGCAGATCGCATGTACCGAAGCGGGTTTCTGTGTTTAGCTTGCGCTTTTTACATCTTGAGTCTTCTTCTCCCGTTCTGGTCGTGAATGTTGCTTTTGTAAGCGCGCGTGTGGTGTGCCTGTATGGCTTTTTTCATTCTTCAAGGGCCACTGAACGACCGGAAGTAGTATTTTGAATTCTTTCAATGACGCATATGTAACGTTCGAAAAAAATAAGCACGCATTTCTTTTAGTTGGTAAAATGGCTTTTCGCTGTATTTCTGCGGTCTGCAGTGAGTGTGTTAGCTTTAGTAACCGCAGACTGCAATGATAGGTTGGGGTATGTTTTCAGAGGTTAATAAGTAACCGCGCTCACTCGCACATGTGCATGTATATAGCTGCTTACGATGTCTCGCGGCTAATTATATGGGCCAGCGGCAGAATCTTTATCAACCTTGATCAACCTTTATTGCTCGCATGTATCTTTATCGATAACGAAACAGGTTGCGAACGCGCCGGGGCTGGAATTGGTAAGGAAGGGAGAGAAGAGGGAGGGGGTGCGAGAGAGGCAGTAAGACGGATAAACAGAGTAGTAGGTAGAAGAGGTGGGTAGGTTGGTAGTAGAAGCAGTAAACATTAAAATATAAAAAGCGTAGGCAAGACTAAGAGAAACTGAGAGAGAGTTGGAGAGCGCGCGAAGGAGAAAGAAGGTCAGCGCGACAGAAATAGCAAGAAAGAAAAGATAACGAGCGAAAACGAGAGAAAGAGAGAGAAATAGAGAGGAAGAGAGAGAGCGAGAGAAGGGGTGAGTGGGAGAGAACAACAGACCTGCGCTAGACTTACGAACCTGCGGTTGACTTTGCCACCCCACCCCCCTACCCCCGTGCAACTATCCGCATCTGTCAACGTGAAGCCAATTTCAGCACAACCTTTGCCAACAACTTCATCTGCGTCTTTCTCTCTCTCTCTCTCTCTCTCTCTCTCTCTCTCTCTCGCCTCTCCCTCTCTCGCTTAGTATTCACCAGTCTCTTTCCCGACCCTCCCGGCCCGGGTGAGCAGCGAGGTCGTGACGGGTTAAGGGCTTCATTAAGCCGCGCTGAGCCGCGAAGAGAGGCTGCGCACACATAGCTCTCATCGGCTAGCAGCCTAACGAACACTGCCAACAAGAGCCGCCCGAGCCAACACGTTCTCGGCCGGATGCGGATTTACGGAGGAAAGGGTAATTGGAAAAAGCAGGGAGACGCGAGTAGTTTGCTCGGTGATGACATGTGCGCGTGTGCGCAGGCACGTCAGAAATGCCTCTCGTCGCGCTACATCCCTTTACTTTGGCATGCGCCGGGTTCTCGGGTTTGATGCTCGGCATTTTACCCTCTCTGCCTCCGCGTCCTACTCATCACCATCCTCCTCCTCGTCGTCATCGCCGTCCTTCTCCTCCTCCACCACCATCCTCCTCCTCGTCGTCATCGCCGTCCTCCTCCTCCACCACCATCCTCCTCCTCGTCATCGCCGTCCTCCTCCTCCTCCACCATCCTCCTCCTCGTCATCGTCGTCGTCCTCCTCCTCCACCATCCTTCTCCTCGTCGTCATCGTCGTCCTCTTCCACCACCATCCTCCTCCTCGTCGTCATCGTCGTCCTTCTCCTCCTCCACCATCCTCCTCCTCGTCGTCATTGTCGTCCTCCTCCTCCACCATCCTCCTCCTCTTCGTCATCGTCCTCCTCTTCCACCACCATCCTCCTCCTCCTCGTCGTCGTCGTCGTCCTCCTCCTCCTCCACCATCCTCCTCCTCGTCGTCATCGTCGTCCTTCTCCTCCTCCACCAACCTCCTCCTCGTCGTCGTCGTCGTCCTCCTCCTCCACCATCCTCCTCCTCTTCGTCATCGTCCTCCTCTTCCACCACCATCCTCCTCCTCCTCGTCGTCGTCGTCGTCCTCCTCCTCCACCATCCTCCTCCTCGTCGTCATCGCCGTCCTCCTCCTCCACCACAATCCTCCTCCTCGTCATCGCCGTCCTTCTCTTCCACCACCATCCTCCTCCTCGTCGTCCCCGTCCTCCTCCTCCTCCTCCACCATCCTCCTCCGCGTCATCGTCGTCCTCCTCCGCCACCATCCTCCTCGTCGTCGTCATCGTCGTCCTCCTCCTCCACCATCCTCCTCCTCCTCTTCGTCGTCATCGTCGTCCTCCTCCTCCACCATCCTCCTCCTCATCGCCATCGTCGTCCTCCTCCTCCACCGTCCTCCTTCATCTTCCTCCTCGTCATCGTCGTCCTCCTCCTCCTCCTCCTTCATCCTGCTCCTCCTCGTCGTCGTCGTCCTTTTCCTCCTCCTCCTCCTTCATCCTCCTTCTCCTCCTCCTCGTCATCGCCATCCTCCTTCTCCACCACTATCCACCTCCTCGTCGTCATCGCCATCCTCCTCTTCCTCCACCATTCTCCTCCTCGTCATCGCCGTCCTTCTCCTCCTCCACCGCTCTGTTTCGGGAAGCTATGCCGACAATGGGTGCGCTGTTACGACGGCAACACAACATTGTGTCTAAATAGGGAAGCAGTACGAAGCCTTGAGATAGTTAATTACTGCAAGACGTAAGCGCATCTGTGATGGTAGCGGACGTTGAATTCTGAGTTCTATGTTCCGATCAACTTACCGTGTAAACCGATCGTGTTCGTAACCCGACGACTGCGCGCATGTATACAGGTTTAGGTACAGGTGTAGCAGCATTAGCAGTAGCGGTAGCAGAAGTCGCAGCGGTGGCAGCAGCAGCAGCAGCAGTAGCAGCAGTAGTAGTAGCGGTAGCAGCAGTAGTAGTAGCTGTAGCAGCAGCAGTAGCAGTAGCAGCAGCAGTAGTAGCAGCGGTAGCAGCAGTAGTAGTAGCAGTAGCGGTAGCGGCAGTAGCAGCAGTAGTAGCAGCAGCAGTAGCAGTAGCGGCGGTAGGTAGCAACAGCAACAGCAGTGCCACCCTCACGTTCAAGCGTGCTGCGTGGAGCCAGCCCGCGGTGCATGGAGCGGCACATAATTTATTCATCGAGGATATTTAATTAAGTACACCATCCTAGCTGTCGCGCACGGTCCTAATAGATGAACGCGCAGATCGGTGAAGCACACCAGAGTCGTCAATAATTGAAGAGAGACGCGGTGATGAGAGGGAGGAGAGGAGAGGAGAGGTGAGGAGAGGCGAGGCGAGGCGAGGCGATGCGAGGAGAGGAGAGGAGAGGAGAGGAGAGGAGAGTTGAAGAGAGACGAGGTGATGAGAGAGAGGAGAGGAGATGGGAGGTGAGGTGAGGTGAGGAGGGGAGAGGAGGAGAAAGGGGAGGAGAGGAGAGGAGAGGGGAGGAGAGGCGAGGCGAGGCGAGGCGAG